GAACCCAAACTCCCCACCACACGATTACATCGTCTGCACATTGTCATGACCACTTTTTGCGAAACGACAATAACGGAATTAAAAATGTTATAATTTATAGGTAAATTACTGGTAAAATTAACAAATCGACCACTTCAGAACACTCAGAAAGTCTATACGAATACTATGTAAGCTAAGAGCGAAGAAAATCGGCCAAAAAACTCGGCAAAAGGCAATTAATTAACGTAGCGAAAGAAAACACGTGTACCGTGTACAGAGTACTGAGAATAGATGTTACATCCTTCCTTTAGCCACGTAGGACCATGCCACCAGAGGTCGTTGTTTATTAAATTGTTTTATACGTTCCTCTTGATAACAAATTTGCAGGATTATGTTGTGACTTTACGTGGAACCATGTGACTGGGTCGCTTGTGGACTGAATTTCGGTAATTGCATTTTGTGAATATGTCTAAAAATATTCTTCAGTAGTTGCATGCTATAGCTCTTATATAAGACCTAATGGATCGAATAACTTTGCTATTTGTCATAAAATTGTTCTTTTCGTGATTAGCATGGTATGTTTCAAATCTGCACGGGTATATGTCAGCTTGTCAGTGTTTGTATTCCATTGAATTCCTAACGTTTTGAAAATTTCTTCGGACATAATTGTTGGATTTGAGAGAACAATAAAAAATATATATATGTGGGATTCCCCCATGAAAGCGCTAACGAATAAGAAGATCGATCCGTCGACACAGTTGCCTCTGAGATCCCGAAGAGCAACAATCGTATTTTTAAAGCATTACGATCGTGTTAACATTCTTTTATTACAAATTATAAGTTTTAAAGTGTACCCCTAGAAATGATTTAAATAAACATTATTTTATTATGAAGTGAACGTTTTTTAAAAACACCCCTAGAAATAAATTAAATAAAACGTGAACCCTACATATATAAAACAAAAGAAAGTTAAAATCCTATAGTTAATAAAGTATAATACCACTTTTCCAATAAATCAGCCACATTCACGAAAAGCAAGAGTTTGAACTTTGAAAAATTTTTGTGTAGTGAATTGATAAAAAGAGAAAAAAAAATGAAAATAATTTAAAATTGGGGCAGCATCAATGAAGTAGAAACCTGATGGTTGTCTGGCAGGGAAAACAGCTAAATGAAGGAAAGAAGATCACATGCAGAATCCGGACCGAGCACAGAGGTATGTTTTATATTTGATTTTACATTTTCGTCGTAGAGTTCTTAATTTCCAATGAGAGGGAACTATAATTAAAGACTATTTCATATGAGAAACAACTCTTAAAGAGTTCGGTTCTATGGCTAGGTATTTCGAGTACATTCCGATGTCTAAGATTAAGATTCTGTATATCAGTCTGGGTGGCGATTTGGTGGTGATGATTTTGTGATATAAACTTAAGCTATGTAATAATCGCCGATTTTCCATATTCAACCAATTTGCTTCTTTTAATTTGAAGGAAATAGGTTGTCGGGATCTTATACTGTATATCAATCTCAGACATGATTTTTGTAACCTCTGTACTCTACCCGCATTCGCCACCGATAGAAAAGTACCATACACAGTATCACAATAATTAAATCTAGACAACACTAATATATCGCAAAGATACTTTTTCGTATTCTGATTCAAAGAAAATCTATCGTTAAAAAGTACTTTTAAAGCAGTGAAGGCTTTTTACATGGTGAAATTAATGTGCTCTGTAAAATTTAATCGGCTGTCCATTACAACACCCAGATTCCTTACCAATGCCCGAAACTCAATTTGTTGCTCGTCTATAACCAAGTCCATCTGACCTAGACGCGCGCGGGCGTCGTCCGATCCAAACACAATAGCTGTCGTTTTATTATTATTAATGTGCATTATTTATAAAATTCATTGCACACTGAAAATCTACAAGTGGGAACGAGTAGTAAATCTGGGTGTCGGCAGCATATGAGTGAAATTTACAGTGTTGAAGTCGTTTTGACATCGGGAATGTAGATATACTATATAAAAGTGGCCGTCGAGACTGGCGATTTATGATTCTTGATGAATAATTTGCGATCGTTCGGTTGCATGTTGCCTTTGGAGTATTAGATTGAGGAGCTAAATGAAGCAAACTGTAATGTTCTTTGGAAGATAATTTACATTTGTTTCTAGATTGGCAATTCTGAACGTAATGACCCCTTTTCAAACAATTGATGCATAATCTTAAATCTCTAGCTTTAACATTTCTTTCGTGACTACTTAATTTGGAGAAAGTTTCACAGTTGTTGATTATCACCTTGATAAATAATATAAATGTTGTGAATGGTTGTAAATGATTCTGTTGTTTAGTTTTAATTGAATATATTTGGTGGTATCTTAGAACTATCTGATTGTTTTAATGATATTACGTCTAAAGTATTTACGTTCCCATTTAAGAATTCTATCAACTCAAAAGCAGTTGGAATGTGATCGTGGTTTGAAGTTCTCTTATTTATTCGTGCTTTCCATTCTTTATTTGTTTACAGGGTGGTTCAGTTTTTAATCGGGAAACTTTACTAGGATGTAGTATTTTCCAAAATAACACAAGTTTTTTTATATAAACATAGGGTCGCAACTCTTTTGTTTTCAAGCTATGAGCGATCAAAGTTGACCTAAGAATTTGTGTTTATCACCTTTATAAAAAAATCTAGGCAAACAAATAAGCTAGAAACGCTATTATGAGCTAAATTTATTCCCCAAATTTCATTTTCCTGGCGTTTTTAGTTCTCTAGTTCTCGAGAAAAAAAAGTTAAATCAAAATTTTCCGCCATTTTTGAATTTTTGCTCCTCAGGGGAGTCGAAGTCACTCATAGTTCATATAAAAAAGTACCCTTAAAATTTGCTAAAGAATCACCCCCTGAAGTTTGGGAACGTCATTCAGATACACCTGTATATATCAAGTTTTGATAACAAAATAATCTCCGATTTTTCTGATGGTTTTTATGACCCTCAGTAACAGTAGCGGCAGTAATTATCACCCCGAAAAAGTACCTGGTCGTGATTTATGATAGGCCCTTGAAGGTCCAGGGACGTATTTCTTTTTTTATTTTATTTAAATATGACATTTCTAACAGTCGATTGTCGTTAATTCAAGATTCTTCATCAGTGTCATAACAGTTGTCACTTTCCGCGCATTCTAAGTTGTGGTCATCAGAAGAATCATCAACACAAATAATAAAATGCTGTACATGTGGCAACACATACGAATCTTCGACATCTTTCACGTGTTTTACGCACTGCGACCACAATTCGAATGAAATATTATATACAACTTTGGCACTTATCTTCGGAGTTGTATTGTGTTTTCTTATGTTCCTCTTTAATTTGCCCCAGATTAATTCTATAGGATTTAAGACGCAATGCATTTTTTGCCATGTCATCAATTATTATTATTATTTTCATTAACTTTTTCTAATAATTTATCTTTAGTTATTTTTCCTTCTGGTATAGCAATGTTATTTTCTTTCATATAATTTAAAATATACTGCTTCTTGTGCCTTTTTGATGGTTTGGGATTTTTAATGCGGGAGTGGTAACTGACATTATCGAGCACTACTATCGAATTTGGTTTTAAATTCTTCAATAACTGGTTTTGAAACCAGCTTTCAAACAATCCATATCTTGATGGTAATCAGCAGAGCAATGTCTGATGTTTTTTGCAGACACTAACTGGGCATTTTTTTGTGAAACCATTTTCTCCGCCTGCATGAAAAATAATCACACGCTTCCCTCTTGAACATGGAGTTGCCAGTGCGCATTTCTGACTTCCATCGGATAAACCTTTTTTTAATACATTGTGAGTTTTACACCAAATTTCATCCAGATAAATTATGTCCCGCTTCTCTTCACGATATTCTCTGATTTTTTGTATAAAGTTCGATCTCCATGTTCTTAGTCGCGGAGTTTCGATAATATGAGCACTTTCATCAAGTGTCATATAACGAAATCCAATGCTTTTAATACCAATATTGAATTAAAGAATTATTTACGCCTTAAAAAAAAAGAAAAAACGCTTAAACAGTACTTAGAGTACTACATTCGAAAAATACAAATTTTAAATAAATTGTTGTATTTTCACGCAAAGTAATCATATTCAAGTTTTTAAATATTATGTTTTTGTAATTTCCGTTAATGCGGATCTGAACAACTCACGCCAGAGTTTGGCGTTCGTCAACTACCTGTTTACAACCCCGTCTTTGTTCGTTATATGACTGCAATTAAGTCATAAAAGAAACCAAAAAAATCTATACTAAGTGGAGACTATACTAATAGTGCGTTCCATGAATCAACAGGCTGATTCCAGGTTTTGAAGCATTCAACATGCGTTCCGATCGAATTAACAAAATTGTTATAGACCATGCAAGGTATCGCGTGATACAGGTGATAAATCTAATAAAGTTCGAACATGGGTATAAACTATTTTGCGTTTATTATCATATCTCTTTTTTACTTTATCCCAAGCAATAACATAATTCTCGTCTGTAATCTCCAACAGTCGTAACAAGTAGGCAGGTTCTATGTTCTCCGGCTTCTTTCTGTGAAGATTTTGAATAATTCAGTTTCCTACCTTCTGGTATGTTGTTATTTAACCCTAGAATACTGAACTGTAGTAAGCATACATTAATACTGGACTATCGTAATTTTTACGACTTTTTACAAAACTCCACATTTGAAAAAAAAACATATATTTTAGAAAGTTGACAAAAATAGTATTACATATAATGTACTTTTAAGAACATAAAAAATAGGAAGCAATATAGTATATATATATTATTACTTTGCGCACATAGTGCATATTTCTCCTCGGTGTTCCCCACATATCGCATGCTTGCATTGGTTACAATACGTCGTAGTCATACGCCTCTTTTTACTAGGACAATAAAAACAAATTTTGCGTTTCTTATCTTGACATGCTTGTGTGTCATTTTCAATAGAAATGTTGAGAATGGCACTAATATCTTGGCGAATATCCCTACGCAAAGTATTAGTATTCAACTTGTCCCTCATCCACGGTTCTGCAAGACGATGACTTAATTCTAACATATATTGGTACCTGGATAAGGGTTTTTTGTTCATATTTAGTGTGTTTGTAGAATAAATGACGTATGAATTTATGCTTCCAATATTTATCATATCCTAACAGATAAAAGATAAAAGATAACCATCGGCAGGAGTTCATATTTGAACACATTTGATCAAATGTGTCCACTCCTCCTTTAGTTTGATTATAATTTTGTATTATTGCTGGCTTGCCTGTTGCTGTTATCTCAGCCCCTTCGTGAAGAGTGGAAAGAAGCAAAACTATTTTCTGTCTTTTTGGCATATATGATAATAAGGTTTTCTGTCGAACGTAGCAAAACATAGATGTGTTTGGGTTTCTACCTTTTACATTTAACAATTCCGTAGGGATTTCCTTTTTGTTTTTGCGAAGAGTTCCTAAAATGGTAAGTTTATAGGGATCTTTTAGTAACTCATCAGCTAAAGGGACTGACGTAAACCAGTTATCCATGGTAACGTTTCTATTACTACCATGGACTGATTTAGTCAGTTCCTTGACGTAGTATGAAGCCAGTGGCAAACCATTTCTCTTTGTTAATTTTCCCAGATAAGGATCAGCATCGATCATGTACTTGGACGAAGAATCGCATAGCATGACAATCTTTATACCGTACTTGGACGGCTTATTTGGAATATAAATTTTAAATGGACAACGTCCACGAAATCCAACCAATTGTTCATCGATAGTCAGGTATGACGAAGGTGTATATGAAGTCCTGCATGTTGTTATAAAAATATCCCATATTTCACGAATGTATGCCAACGGATCTTTCAGCACCCTCTCTTGCCTCGTTTCTTTATTATCGAATCTAAGACAATTTAGTAGGAAAGAAAAACGTTCACCACTCATACAAGCTCTGTAAAATTTTCCGGATATGTTAGTATTAAACATGTGTTTCATCGACAAATGATTATCTTTGTTCGCTGCAGACATTATCAAAATTGCAAAGAGGGCTTTTAATTCGTTTTTTGTAATTTCAGATATATTGGCATGACTCTGATACTTTTGCGCTCGTCTAGCAATTTCTGCATTTGTATGCTGAAGTATAATTTCCAATATGTCATGTGAGAAGAAATGCAGGAAATATTCATCAAACATGGAATAATTGTTGGTATTTCCTTTAGGACCAGGTATAAAATGAATAATGTTTCTTGCTGCAGTTCTTTTACACTTCGCAGGTACTGTCGCTGACCATTTATGGCCATTCTTTCCTGTCAAAGAAGTTTTATTTGGTTTTATAAGGTACTGATGTAAGGAAGAGCAAACTTCGAGAATGTTGGTTTCGGATTCTTCGCCTTCTGTAGGTGTTTGTTCTCGAGCTGCAGTTGGAGGATCTTGAAATAAATTACGCTGAGGGATGCAGACTGGAGTTTCTGGTGCAATAACAATATTATCGTCATCGCTTTCATCATCTGAATCTTCTGGTTCCGGTTCAAGGTTGTCCTCCTCCCAATCGCTCCCACTGTCTTCTCCGCACATTATACGCCGTATTTCTTCTTCTATTTCTGTTTGGGTTAAGGGCTGTTTAAACATTTTTCTAAAAACAAAGCACAAACCTTACTGAAACATTTTAACGTGTCAAATAAAGTAATTTACCTCTCAAACTGTACGCACTAACCCTGTATTTGAATGCAGAACGTTATTAAGAAACTATACGTAGATACTGGAGTTTCGTAAAATTTACGACGCGATTACAAAATACCCTATTTAGCTACAAACTATACAGCAACTGCAGCCAGCACTGACCAGTTCACAACTAAATGAAAAGGTACCTAGAAGCGCGCGACGGTGTGTGAACCGGAAGTATCCGCATCTTAACGAAGTTTGATGAGCGTCGTAAAATTTACGAATGTCCAGTATTCTAGGGTTAAATGAATCAAAGATGTGAAAGCATCGTAATATTCGCGCCAGTGACTAAATGTACCGTCAAATGTTGGCAAATTGATTGTTGGTAACGTAACTGATCAATTTGGAAGAACTTGGGGGAATATTTATGTTTGTATCAAGTTCAATTCGAGACTGTGATTGTTTATCATGTTTTACCTCACTTTGTTTCTATATTTGTTTAGCTCTACTTATCAAATCAAAATAAATGTCTTCAAACGTTTCGCGTTCTTCAATTTCTCCTTGAGTTTCATCAGCAAGGCACTTAATCTTGTTTTGAATATCGTAAAAATTGTCTAAGATCGGAATAATATTGTTCATTCGGGTATCGAGATTTTCTAATTGAATCTCGCTAACATTTTCTTGGAACTTGTTGAAGTGCCTTTGAAATGATGTGAAACGCGCCTTCAAACTACCTCTTTTTGATGTAAAGCTTTTAAGTCGATCATTATTTTTTTGAGAATTTTAGCGATTTATGTTGTATTATATTATTAATACACAAATTATTACTATAAAAATCTTTATTTAAGAACCAACACAAGTGGATTACATCAGCGACTGTGGTCTTCGATCAACTGCTTCCCCCCAAGTCCTTACACGCTTAACCGGCTTAACTAACGCACTTAACTAACATGTTATTTACTAGATGGCGCCACACTACGCTATTCATACAACATCCCCCTTTCTTCGTTCCTTAAAAATAAACAAATTAAACTAAAGCTACATTTAAAAACTACTGTACATAATCTGTTAAATACTTTGGTGGTTTTATTGACCGCTTCGGGCGTATATAATTAGTTGATTGCTCAATTTTATCTCTTTTATAAGATTTAGTTTGAGTTATGTCATTATTGTCATTTGAGTGTTTGATTGTTGTCCTTTGTTGTTTTACAATGCTCTTCGGAGATGTAATGTTCCCAAATATCATAATACTATTCAGGTCTGGATATCACATTTTGACTTTCGTAATACTTAAGGAATTTTCTATTTCTTATCAGAGTTCTGTTGTCGTCCGTCAGAATATGATAAGTTCTTGTCTACTTTTACTACTTTTCCTGCCGTCCATGTTCCATCTTCTACTCGCACTACTTCTCCTCCTTTCTCTAATCTCTTGAGATCCTTTGCTCCTCTATTATAATGTGATTGTTATATATTTTCTTTATGTTTTAGATGTTGTTTGAAATTATTTTGCACTTGCGTTTTAATTTTCCTAGAAAATAAAATTTCCGCTGGTGAAGGCATTTTGTTATCTAAGGGTGTTGCCCTATATGCCACTAGCACTGCATCAATGCTAAATACATATCAGTATTGTCTTCATCAGATTTTTTTAAGATCTATTTTATGGTTTGAACATGCCTTTCAATAAGGCCATTTGATTGTGGATAGCTCGGTGAACTTGTTTTATGCTTTATTTGCCAATCGTATATAAATTTCTTAAAATGCTTGTTTACAAATTGTAGACCATTGTCAGTATATAAAATATCTGGCTTGCCATAACTCACAAAAATACTTTTAAAATTTTGAATAATGTTATTATGAGTAGTATTACTATCCATACTCATTAGTTCAGGATACTTTGAATATGCATCAATAAATAATAGAAACTGTATTCCTTTAAAATGAAGCTAATCCGTTGCCACAATCTGCCTATTTGGTATTTCTTTATTAACGTGTTTTTCTTTTATATTGCTATTTGAAAATTTACCACACGTTGAACATTTTCTAATCAAATCGGTTAATTGTTGATTCATAACAGGCCAGTATAGTAGTTCTTGAGCTTTTAATATTGTTTTAGTAATGCCCACATGGCCATAATGCTTTTAACTTTTCTGCAATTTCTGTTTTTAACGAATTTGGTATTATAATTTGATTACCTTTTAATAACAGTCCTTTATGTTCAGTGATTCCGTGTCCAATTTTCCAAATTTTTTTTAAATTGTCATTAATTTTGAATTTTTCGTTGGGCCAACCTTGTTTAATTATAGGTTTCAACTCTTTTAATTCTTTATCTTTACGGGATTCTAGGACTAATGCTTAAATAGTCAATCCTGTCAATTTCCATGTTGATCTCACTTTCCAATAATTCAAACTTCTTATCATCAAATGTGCTACTCGATAAAGCGTCTGCCAGGTATAACTCACTCTTGGTTTATACCTTATGTGGGGAAGTTAATAGCTTTTTACTTTCCCAACACAATCATTAAAACTTAATTAAAATTAAATTAGTAATTCAGTTTTGACGTCTCGTCAAAACGTCGTACGTGTTGTATCAATGAATTTATTGAAAGGATGAATGAATATTTTATATAATACACCAAGATATATTTTTTATTTGAAATAGGAAAAATATATTGTGGCATCTTGGATTTAGGGAATGGATTTTGTTGTTGTTTTGTACACCTTACTTCGAGGTCATATTGCTGTAGATTTATCTATAGACATATACGGTAGGATTAGTGGATCAGACACAAAAAGTAACTAACTTATTACTTGCAATATTTCGAAACTTTATTGTTTCTTCTACAGGCAATTACTAGAAAAAACCAGCGAAGTTACTAACATGAAAAAACAACTTTTAAATTTACTTACATCATAGTTAAATTAAATCGGGGTAGTTGAAGTCCATCAAAACAATTCTTGACTACTCATTAAGACCAAAAAAGCCACAATCATTTGACTATTACAAAATGGATGAAAGTTAAGAACTTAAAACGTGTATGAAACGATAAATGCGTCGAGAAAACATTTTTTTGAACCGGTTAAACAATTTTGCATCTGCGCATCATCCACCAATCCCAAACGTCTAACGCGCATGAACAAAAATAAACAAAAACCGCCAATTTTAAAATTTGAACTTAACAAACAGAAACAAAAAAAAATTTTTTAATATTAACTTAAAACAAACAAATTAAAATTGAAAGTCAAATTATAAATTAAAATGTTAGTGAATCGCTATCTGTAGGATTTACATTAATCTCCTTTCTGGTTCTATCCCAGTGAAATAAAAAAGAGGAAATGTTACTTAAATTACTGGTATCCGTCTTAAAATTAACCGTATTTTCACTCAAATTGATTTGATACATTTCCAAAAATAATAAGTAATTCGCATCACTGTCAAGAATGACAGGGTTTTCAAAGTAATCATAATCAAAATTATGATTACAAGTAACCATATGATTAGCTAAGGCACATTAAGTTTTTTTAGTGTTAAAATCGCTTTTATGCGAGCTAATACGTCTCTTCAACCATTGACCAGTAACACCAATATAACAACCGGTACACTCCTTACAATCAATCTGATAGATGACGTTCGATTTGTAAAGCAAAGGGTCGGAATTCTTCACTTTAGAAAAAAAGTTCTTAATTTTTAACGGGTAATATTCAACAAGTCTTCTATCTTCAGGTAAGTATACTTTTAAGATATTAATTAATTTTTTAGAAAGACCATCAACTTTCATAATTTTACTATACTTTGTAGGTTGTACCGAAACAGCATCAAAAATACTAGGAGCCACACCAATATCACTCAGGGTGGAACTGGAAAACAGAACCTTATTGATAATCCTCAAAGGAAAACCATTATTGATAAAAACTTTCTTAAGTTTAGCAAGAGCTTCAGTTTGAAATTTAGTATTGCAAATTTTCAGAATTCTGTATTTCATTCCCACCAGAGTATTGATCTTATGATTAAACGAATGACTTGAATAAAAGTTAATGTAACGACCCGAATATGTAGGCTTGGTGTACCAGTCAATGACTATAGAGGTGTTCTCGCGAATAACCTTACAATCAAGGAACGGAACAAACTTATCCTTTTTCGTCTCAACAGTGAATTGAATGTTACTATTAAACGAATTAAAGACTGTCAAAATGTGATAAGCACCATCCCTGGGAACACTAGTGATAATATCATCAACAAATTTTTTAATGAACGGTAATTCAAACTCTAACTGAGGAATAACACCATCAAGAACAAAGTCCATAACTATAAGAGCTAAAATGGGACTTATAGGTGAACCCATGGGTGTATCAAACTTCTGAAATAAACTTGATCATTAAATGAAAAGTAGGTGTTCTCAAAAACAAACTTTAAAAGTTTACAAAAGATTTCAGAGGAAAACTTACAGTTATCCTTAATCACATCCCATTTATCTTTAACAATGTTGAGAATTAAATCTAAGGGTATATTGGTGAACAAGCTCACCACATCAAGAGAAATAATGACATAGTCTGATGGAAGTTGAAAGCCTTTTATGTAGTTAACAAATTCAAAGGTATTCTTAACATTGTATTGAGTTACATTGCTCAAGGAGAGAGCAAGAATGCTGGATAAGTATTTGGATAAGTTGTACGTGGCCGAACCACAGGCCGAAATGATGGGTCTAAGAGGTACATTAGGTTTATGTATTTTCGGTAAGAAATAAGCTTTACACAAAGTTGAATTTTGGGTTGTAAGAAACCTCAATTCATTATCATCAATAATCTTTTCATTGTGAAGGTGTTTAATTAATTTATTAAGATTCCTTTGAACAGTGTCAACAGGAAATTTATTAATTCTGGTGTAAGTAGATAGATAGAGAAAAATCGTGTTTTTGCTGCGATCAAAAACTCCGCCTAGCGTTTTTCTAGATATGGGTTTTTATAACAAC